TCATTCTGTTGCTTGTAAACCTAGTTGCCTGGCTATCAAGGAGTATGTGCCTCTGGGATGATAAGTCTATCTCAGGAAGAAGTTTTGATGGATGGTTGTAGGTGCCCTGATTTGAGTGATGGATTGCATGTAGGACCAGTGAAAAGGAATGTGATCAACTGGTGGTATCTGCCATGAATTTTGCAAAAGGGATTGGTGAATCTATGTGCAATTAATTTCAATACTGGCATATCCCTTCCTGGTTAGTGGTGCCTGGCCAGGGATTCTACTGGACTCTTGTAGGCATATTCCCAAATGAAAGGATTTTAGGACAGCATGAGCAGGAATTTACCAAATGCTTCTGTGTTGATAGAATTTCTGTGGGGGGCAAGGGTTTTGCCAGATTCTCCTGCATTACTGGGGCTCATTTAGGTGTATTTGCCCATGTTCACAGATGGTGTGCATGTCCTAGTATCATAAATTACCTTCAATAAGCACTTTTAAGAAGTTGCTTATTTTTTAGAATTTTTGCACAGTAAAAGTACCTTATTTCTGGGTAGACTTTATTCCCCATTCTACTCTACAACAGTTTTTGGTGCTCTGGATGCAGATTTCCCTGCCAGTTCAGTGCTGGTTACTCTGTGCTTTTATCAATGTACCCACAATATCTTTAAGCGTATTTTTATTTTTGGAAAACTAAGCATTTCAAGAGCTTAAGTTTTTGGCTAGAGTTCTGTTCCCAGGCAGATGTTGATCCAATTCTTTAGACATAGCCATTTCAGTGTTATGACTTTAACCAACTGGACTGTTTTTTTAGGTACATTAACTTTCTTTTTTTTTTTTCTGTAAGTGTTTCATGAGAGCCATTGATAGATGCCTTGATAAAATTTGGATAAACTACAATGGCAAACTCGTGAGATCATAGCTAGAAGTGAATTTGGAATTCATCTTGTCAAATCCACTTAAAGAGAGAAGTGGAAGTTGGAGGGAGAGGGAGGAAACAAGCAGATGATTGTCAGGTTCATGCATCTTCGTGGTAGAATCAACAAGACTATTACAGATACAGTGCTTATCTCTGATTACCATCAAAATACTGTAAGGCGGACAGATTGATATGATTATCCCTATTTACATGCATGTAAACTGAGGCTTAGAGATATTAGTTGGTATTTCTTAGACTGCACAATAAATGCATGGCAGAGTTGGGTCAGGTATATTTAGTATTAAGTTTTTTAAAAGGATGTGAACAAAAATTTCTTGAATAAAAAATGTAAAGAGCATATGAATATAGTATGGGCTTCATGAGGTTAGATAGAGTTTAGAATGAATCTAAATGATTCAATCCCATGTTTTTTTTTCCCCAACAGGACTTTGTAGAAAGGTTATACAAGAAAAATGAGGCACCTAGTTGGGGTGAGTCAGGGCTGGCAGCCATAGCAAACAAAGAGACAGTAATTCAGGGAGTTTGGCTTCTGCACTGTAACAATTAAGCAAGCGGCAGCAAGTGCTATGAGCCAGGTGTAGTCCCAAGAATGTCCACAAATTCTTTGGGTGCAAGGGATAGGACATGCTAGAAGCAAGAAAAGAGGTGGTGAGAGACAAAGAATGTTGCTCCAGCACCTCTAAATGTGTTGTAGTAGGTCAGTGTGTGTGTGTGTGTGTGTGTGTGTGTGTGTGTGTTGGTACAAGGAATTGAACTCAGGACCTTGCCCATTCCAGGCAGGTGCTGTGACACTGAGCTACCAGCCCCTCTGAGCTGTATCTCCACTCTGTTGTCAAATATATTAATATATTCTCAAGGACATCTGCACACATGTGTTTACAGCAGCTTGCAATTTCTGTAAGGTGTTACTTTAGCAATTACACATTTTTTGTACCTAATGCTGTGCCTGGCACATACTGGGCATTCCAGAAATGTCCATGAAATGCTATAAACAAGGAGACAGACATGATTTGGGTTGATGCACAAGGGCAGTGTAGGTTAAAACACCCAGAAATCACAAACCAGGCCTCAGTACAGAGATGCTGAGGGCTGGTTCTCTGTTACTTTCATTCAATAATGGATTTTACAACATGCTTCCTTACCCATGAGGTGGGGTGATTTAAAAAGTGTGGGAACACTTCAGACTCAAAGGTGGTAAAGCATAGAGACGTAGGCATTTGCCATTATTATATGTAAATAAAGACCAGCCCACGATGTCCGCCTGCATGACAGTGGATACTCCATCTCTACTGTCTATCCTCGTGTTTCCAGAAATTTCAGAGAACCACACATTAGAGATGCTGTAGAGACATGCACATTGGATGTCAGGGTGCAGTAGATGACCTCAAAGTTTTACTTTCTTCCAACTCAGATGTTAAAAGATGACTGTATAGTAGAGATTGCTTACAGTATAGTAATTTAAGGGCTCATTATGCATGTGCCATGTATTTTCATGAGGCTGTGAAATATTAGACCAAATACACCCTCTCCATATCTTCACATTCATACCTCTATTCTTTCCCACTTGTTTGTGCCTTGCTCTCTGCTTCCTGCCTGGTCTCTACCTTGCCCACCTTTCTCTATGACTACGTTTATCTCACTCTGAACTTTTTCTTAAAGGCTTTCTCCCTCCTTTCTACTAAAAAAATTCACAATCTCTTTTACATGAAAGACAAATCTTCCTTTGACCTTTCAGCCCTTTCCAATTTCCATTCGTCTCCTCAAGTATTACAATAGGTGGTTTCATCTTCTGTCTTAATTTTTGACCTTTTGCTCTTACTACTTCATTGACTCTGCAGTTTAGGGGTCAGTAATTATCTCACCATGGCCAATTCAAATGTCTTTTCTCAAGGCTCGTCCTTTCTGAACTATCTGCTGAATGATATTATTAGCAGCACACCCATCTTCCCTCTCAAGCTGTCTCCCCTGCCAACACGGCATCATATTCTTGTTCGATGCCTCAGTCACATCTGGCTTTGCAGTGCATTCCCTTTCCTGGCTACTCTTTGCATCTTTTATTGGCTGCTCTCCTTTCTCTCATTTATGTTAGGGTGCAGCTATTCCTGACATCTGCTTTGCAAACCTCACACACTCCCATGGTTAGAACCCCTTTTTGCTTTGATGCAGAAGCTGCTTAAATTTACATTTTCAGCTTCTATCTATTCTCTCTTTGATTACTTCCTCTGTAAGTCTCCCCTGGACAATTCATTGGCAACTGAAATTTGGAATGTTTGAAATAAACTCACTATGGCTGCCTACTGCTTTCCGCTCCCCAGCCGCCAGTTAGCGTCCATGAAAACTCTCTTGGGAGGTTCCCCAGAAAGGCATCCTCTTTGAATCTGTCTCTTCATCACCTGCCTGCTATGATACAGCACCTGATCTTTGCACATTGGCAAGAATTACCTTTGTCCACGCCCCGGTTGCTCCAACATCTAGATCAGTACATGCACCTTCAGGCGCAGGCTGCACTATACATCTCTTCCTCAGTCTATATCCCACCCACTATTCACCTGAGGGCCTCAGCTGAGTAATTTCCCCAAAGTAGACATTTCTCACCTGGGCTAGCAGGCTCTCTCCACTCTTCCAGTCTCCTTCCTGACCTCTCCCACAAGAAGCCCCTGAGGGCCACCCCAGCCAGTCTGCCTGCTGCTCCGCAATACCCCATGCTCACTTCACCTACTACCGAGGTCTCGTGTCCGTTGCTGAGGCTGCCATAACACAGTGTTGTAGAGTGGGTGCTTCAACATTAGAAACTTACTTTCTCTTAGCTCAGAGGCTGCAAACCAAAATCAAGGTTTGGCACATCCGGTTCCTTCTGAGATCTGTTTCCTTACCTTGCAGGTGCCCACCTTCTCCCTGCATCCTCATGTGGTCCTTCTTGTGTAAATATATGTCCACATTTTCTTTTCTCATAAGGCCATCAGGTGCATTAGAGTGGGGTTTATAGTAATGACTTCATTTTACCTTGGTCACCTCTCTTAGGGCCTTATCTCCTCTTACAGTCACATGGTGATGTCCCAGGGGCACTGGACTTCAATAAAATAGATTTTTTAGTGGGGGGAGAATTTCACCCATAAGACATCTTCCCAACTGCTCGTATGTCCTTTCCTGCTTCTCCCTCTTCATTCATTCCTTCTCTCTGTCTGTCCCTCAGCACCATCAAACACCACGGACCCACACTTCATTGTCTTCATGGAAGGTCTCCTTGGCCTCAGCTGCATACTGGGTGTAAGACTTCACCAGCCTGCTTCCTCCTCAGGTCCTTCTCAGTGGCTTCTCTGCCTCTGGCTCCACTAAGAGCAGAGGTCCTACCTCTTCTCCTTTGTACACAACTCTTGACAGGGAAGGCACTTGTTAATTTACCTTGAGTCACCCTTCTAAGGAAGTCTAGTGCAGCCCCTCCACTACCTTCTTGGAAGAGCTTTCCTTGGTGGGTTGGAGAAGACCAGCACTTAACTCTGTTGACAGAGTGGAGGGGGAAGGTTGAGTGTCCATGCCAGTGATGTTCAGCTAGCCCACCTCCTCTCCAAATTGGAAAAATAAGGAATAGGTTCTGGGAAGCTCTAAAAATGGCTGTGAGTTCATGGATTTTCTGCTAGCACTGTCAGGAGTTTGGGAGAAAATGCTATTTCTTTAACCTGAGAGGTGGAAAAATCTAGATAAAACCCATTTCCTTCTGGGGTAAGAAGGACTCACCCTGTCAAGAAGAGAGGTGAGCTTTGGAGAGAAGCCCATTGAGTTTTGGTGGCCCTCACAGGAAAAGAGCTGGGTGTTGGCCCTGGAAATGTCTGTTGGCTGGGCTATGAGTGGCATTCTGGGAGGACTTCTGTGAGGGTCTTGCAGGTGGAGGGCTGCTGTCAGCTTTCCTGCGTAGAGTGTGGGAGAGGTATTTGGAGACTGTGGTCAGGAAGGATACCCCTTTAGTTAAAGATACACAATGCCTTTCTCCCCTTTCCTCCATCCTCAGGCACATCCTTCCTCTCCCTTCACCCCTTTTCTTCTCTCTCCCCTCCCTGCTCTCTGCCCCATTCACTGTCAGGAAGGGCCATGCCAGAAGGGCCCAGTCAGCGTGTCATGGCAGCGGCAGAGGCTAGCAGCACCGACAACTTGCACAGTGAGTCTGGATTTCATTTCTGGGGCCAAGGCTGAGCTGTTCCCACACAGACTGACAGCTTGCAGGCTTTGGAGAGGAACTTCCATGGGCTGAGGGCTGCTCCAACCACTTTCTGCCTCCCAACATGGGGGCATCATTTCACTTCAATGGAAGTTTCCTGCCAAAGCCATAGATGTGCTTGGGATGTCTCATGGGGTGGTAGCATGGTGGGGCGGTGGGGCCATGACCTGCTAAAATCTGGTGCACAGTGGGGATGGCCGCTAGAGTTCAGATGGCTGCAGGGTTGTATGCAGGTCTGCGTGTTGGTGGAGGCTGGAGGCACTGCATGGGTGGTGGTTTGGCTGCTTTCATGCCTTGCAGGAGGTGTGGCCTTGAGCTGTGTGTGTACTTTGGGTACGTCCTTTGAAGAACTAAGATCATCCTTAGCACATAGGCCAGAGGGTCTGAAGATAGGTCTCCTTCTTAAGCTCTGATGAATTGAGGACAGTTGTTACTAGCCTCTGTGACTGAGTCATATCCACCAGCATTTGAGGGTAGAATTTTACCCTCCCTATTTTGATTTCTGTGATAATTTCTGGCAAGGTGGTGGACATACTGCAGAGTCAGTCGAAGTTCCATCTGTCCTGTCTTGATCTGAAGGCTGAATTGGATGGCTTCCTTTCATGTTTTGCCTAGGGTTCTTTTCCTTCTGTTTTGGGACTGATCCACTTGGAAAAACACAGCCAGAAAATTTAGCTACCTGACCTTAAAACTCCAGTCCAAGTACTGCTTGTTATCTTCAGGTGCGTTCCCACTGGCCAGATGCTGCTTCCAAACACCGACTGAGTGTTGTGGAGTCATTTTAGAAGCGAGAAACTTCAGCTTCTTAATATAAGGTATTATCTTGATCCTTCAGATGCCCAGGGATACTCTTACAATTGCATTCATTTCTCTCCTGATTTGGTTAGGGAGGTAAATTAAGCATAGCCTCCCAGATTCTCTCAGGGCCATAGTTACACAAGCTTCTCATCTTGACACTGCTACTCATAAGGCTTCCGTTTAGGAGTTTTTGGGGCTTTGTGTAGCTAGAGCTTCTCAAAACAAGCATGTTTGCCAGCCTTGTGGGAGTTTTGTAAGCAGGGTCATATAAGAGTTTAATTTTCTCTCATGCTTGTAAAATAAATATGTGTATTTCAATCTCATTAAAGCCCAACTCTCAGTTTCAGGAGTTGACAGGTTTTATTTAAAGTATCAGATTGGTCAAATTTATTAATTCAATTAATTAACTTATTGCAAATAACTTATTGCAAATTAAGTGTGTGCATTTGATTGTCTAAACTTAGATACTTCTTAGAGTGAAAAAGGAAGCTATTAATAATTAAATAGGAACTAAAGGCATAAATTTAGACCATCCATAGTAAATTGGGGCATACAGATGCTTCTTTATGGATCTTGACCTATTCTAGGTGCTAGGAATACAACTGTGAATAAAGCAGATAAAAATCTTTTTTGCCTCTAATAAAGGAAATAGAAGATAAACTCAGAAACATAATAAGTTAGAACGTGATAGGTCTTTAGAAGAGACATCAAGCAGAGAGGATAAAAATAGGTACTGGATGATGGCAGTAGTAGTGATAGTGATTGTGGTGGTGATGGTGGGTGTGTGAGTGTGTGCACAGGTAGGTGTGTGTGTGCCATTTTAGATAGGGGTTCAAAGCAATTGAGCTCCTTCAAAAAGGTAAAACAATTTAGTTCACTTAATTTCTCCAAGGAGTTTTGTGGCTCAGATAAAACTTTCTGCAGAAGTCAGAGCTGAAAAGTCTGAGTTCAGATGAAGAAATCCAAACTTCTGCACGGCAAAAAGCAAAGAGGGAAAGTCAGTTGGCCATGGCGTTGGAAGCTTACTTTGTCGCTTTGTGTTTAGCAGTTTCCTGTCCCGCTGATATTGTTCAGAGGGCATCAGAAAGTGAACAAGGCTGGATTCATTTGTGCAAAATGTTTTCATATGTGGCTGGTGCTGGCCATTCAGGATCTCTTCAGGTCCTTCCTTCTTCCATTCTTGGGGATGGTGTGTCCTTGGGGGAGGCAGAAGCATCTTACTTTACTGACCAACGACTCTCAGCACTTTCTAGAGGCTTTGAGTAACTTCATTAATTTACTCTGCACTCTTTCTATGAAAAAGTTATCATAGTCCTATTTTAAGGATGAGGGCACTGCTGTTTAAACATAAAACTAGAAGGTAGTGGAGGCAAGATTTAAGTGGGAAATCCTGCCTTTATCAGTTAGTCTCAGCGTCCATCCATAAGCAGCAATTGGCAGGAAGTGGAGAAGGAAAAGAGAGGTTGGACTCCCTGTGTTATCCCGAGATCGTGTGTATGGGCTCATCTGCATGGCTGGATCAAGAGCAGAAGGTGTGTCGGGGTGGTTGTCCATGTCTTTGCTGACTGTGTGCATAAGGACAGTGATTTCTGCTGCTTCTCTGTGTCACTGCCAGTGGGAATGAGGATAGGCATGGCAAATCTCTGGGGCATGAGAGCAAGTATTCTGTGGTCATGTCCATCTTAAGCAGAGCTGGAAGGAGGGCCACTGCATGGTGTGTGGGTCCCAATAATCACGATGGGATGAGTGCATGCAAAGTTCTGATATTTGCCACAGGATTTTTGACAGAGCTTTGAATGAAGAGTTGAATTTGAGAATAATTCCTAGTCCCTAATTCTATGAATGGAATCCACAGACTACCCCATCCGGTCTTGCAATGCTATTTGCAAGAAGCAGGCAGGATGGCTCTGGACCACATCTTAGATATCATGGTTATATTTGACATCACTATGACTGTGTAACTTTGTGCTTAGTTGTAGTGTACCTTCCTATATTGCCCAGAAAAATAATAGGTAACCTCTTGCTTCATACATAAAGCGGGCTCCTAAGAAGGTTAGTGGGAAGCGAATCACCATTTAGACGCACACAACATCTCTGTTACAAACAAGGAAAGAATTATTTTGGGACATCGATAACATTTTCCCATGTTCCTCCAGGAGCATCTTCCCACATGCAATGCTATTATTTCCTTGAGCTTCTAGCATGCATTTATCCCAGGTCTCAATGCACATCAAGGTAATGTCTCGTTCAGTTTCACAAAAAAGAGAAAAGTTATTACTCTCATCATTTGTCAAGGATTTTCTTTGCCATCAGAATGCCAACATCACAAGAATATCCTCCTGGCCCTTGAATGCTCCTCCCTACTGTCTTGTCTCTATGGGATTATGACTACCTCATCAAGCACTGTTCTTCACAGCTTGTGGACTATTGTCTGGTTTCTCCTCTCACTTTAATATTCAAGCACTGAGGAGCAAAGCTTCATTGTCTTCTTCCATAGGATGTACCTCTCTGATGTTCTTTTCTGAATCTCCTCCCTGATAAAAGCAAGCAAGTGAACTAATTACCTTTTCTTCTCAAATCCTAATCCACCTCAACAACAGCTGGCTTGTCCGTTCTGCCTCTGTGTGCTCTGGAGTCCCACTTGGGAAGAGGGGTAAAGGCTAGAAATATCTAGGTATATTTCTTGCTGATAAAGCTGTTCCTTCTTTTTCTGGTGACCTGTGGCCAACTCTGCCACTCACATGTACAGGGGATGTTCAATTTTAGGAAGGGTTTGGTTACAGCTAGGAGGACCATGCTCAAGCTGTAGACATGAGTCTAAGAGGACAGAGTCATAAGTATGCTTTAGTCCAGCAGCCTACTTGGAGGTCTGAGCACAGGTTTTCTTTATATTATCAAGTTGGGAGCCTGGTGGGAGGTAGTGTCTCCCTACTCAAGCAAACCCAGTTTTTTAAAGGAAACTCAAAGCACATACCTGTGTCTGCACACCCAAGGGACACATGAGGGATGGTTAGGATAAGCTTCGTTCGCGCTGCTGTACGTGAGTGCTGTTTTTAGCTATCACTGAGGTTATAGGGTGGGACTGGGTATAGTAAAGTTGTCTCTAAGCCAGGGAGCACTCCAAAGCACACTAAAACTTTGATGGAATAAAACACCAATATCATTAAGAGCTCTGAAATGAAGAGATGTGGTTATCCAGCTTTTCAAAACTGTTATCTCAAATCTTGTGAGTTTCTTGTGGAAATTCAAATTTGTGCTTTGATATAGTTAAGATTGGTCTTTTGGGGAAAACAAATAAATTCTTCTGGGTGAGATGCCTCTTAATTTATATGGTATCTCAAGTCTTTGTGTGGCCAAGATTATCTGTGTGTGCCCAGGCCAGTCCTGTGGGTTTAACCTGGAGATTTATCCAAGATAAGAGCTCTGCTCATTACATGGTATTTAAACTTTGAACTCCTAGCTGCCTTAGGATTTTGCTCTCTGCTGATCTGAACAGTGTTTCAGAGTCCAGCAAGCCCCTTTGGTCACAACGATAAGGGTTGCCTGGAGAGGGGTGGCATTCGGGTCTTTACATGAAGGAGCTGAGAGAACCACAGAGAAGATGACAGAGGAGAGCAGAGAACCTTTCTGCCCATTTCCTCCAAGACTGTTCCCAAGGGAAGTTGCCTTGGCCTTAGGGTTGGATTACACACTCCTAGAGCTGGATCTTATCTTCAAAGTTGGTCAGCTCCATTTGCTTCCTCAATTGTTTTAGGACAAATGCTCATAACAAATCCATATATTTGGAAGAATTACATGTCAGCCTCCTGTCTGAAAATGCTATTGGGGATGATGAGTTCCACTCTCTCTCGTCTGGTATTTACCTCTCTTGAGCATTAGCTTGTCCCTCAGGTTTTTGCTGACCCCCCTTTCTTCCTACCATGGTGGCTAGGCCTAAGGGAAGTTAAGTGTCTGTTGTAGCCTCCAGCCCAATGTGTCTGGCTGAAGAAGTCCATCCATCACCAGGGCAGATGCAGCCACACAGGGAGGGCTGTCAATACAGATGCTGACATCAGAGCCACATGTTGGGAACTGTGTCCCGTAATGCCTTGTAGCAGCTGGGATCTTGGCACATGGATCTGCCATGCAAGACAGAGGGAAAA